ACAGATATTAAAATAATAATAAGAGGGGTCGGCCCAGTGGCATGGTGGTTGAGTTTCCACGCTCCGCTTCAGTGGCAGCCCAGGGTTCAAGGGTTCGGATCCCAAGCACAGACCTACACACTGCTTATCAAGCCATGCTGTGGTGGCGTCCCATATAAAGCAAAGGAAGATGGGCACAGATGTTAGCCCAGGGCCAGTCTTCCTCAGGAAAAAAGAGGAGGATTGGCAACAGATGTTAGCTCAGGGCTAATCTTCCTCACACACACACACACACACACAAACCTACAGCTAATATCATATTTAATGATAAAGGCTGAATGCTTTCCTTTAAGATTAGGAACAAGACAGAGATGTCCATTCTCCCCGATGCTATTCAACATTGTATTGGAGGTTCTAGCCAGTGCAATCAGGCAAAAATAAATAAATAAAAGTCATCCAGATTGGAAAGAAGTAAAACAGTCTTTATTCATAGATGGCATGATCTTCCATGTAAAAAATATGACAGAACCTCCAAAAATAACTACTAGAACTAATAAAGCTGTTTAGTACAGTTGTGGGATATAAGATCAGTATACAAAAATCAACTATAGACTAGTATTTTGAACTGAACTTTTGAATGAAAAATTGAAAATTGAATTTTAAAAAAATGCTATCATTTACAACAATACCAAAACTATGACAGGCTTAGGGATAAATCTCACAGATGTGAAAGATTTGTACCCTGAAAACTACAAAATATTGCTGAGACAAATTAAAGAACACAAAAATAAATAGATATACTTTGTTTACGGATCAGAGGACAATATTATTAAGATATCACTTCTGGGGCCGGCCCAGTGGCGCAAGCGGTTAAGTGCGTGCGCTCCGCTGCAGCGGCCCGGGGTTCGCCGGTTCGGATCCTAGGCACGCACTGACGCACTGCTTGGCAAGCCATGCTGTTGCGGCATCCCATATAAAGTGGAGGAAGATGGGCACGGATGTTAGCCCAGGGCCAGTCTTCCTCAGCAAAAAAAGAGGAGGATTGGCAGATGTTAGCACAGGGCTGATCTCCTCACACACACACAAAAAAGATATCACTTCTCCTCCCAATTTGTCTATAAATTTAATACAATCCCAATCAAAATCCCAGCAGGAATTTGTGCAGAAATCCGTAAACTTCTGCTTCTTCAAAAGACACTGCTATGAAAATGAAAAAATAAGTCACAAACTGAGGGGGGAAATCTTTGCAAACCATATTCTCTGAAAAAGAATTTGTATCAAGAATACATAAACTCTCAAAACTCAACCATTAGAAATTAAACAACTCAATTTTTAAAATGAGCAAAAGATTTTAACAGACACTTTATCAAAGAACATATACAGATGACTAATAAGCACACAAAAAGATGTTCAACATCACAAGTCATTAGGGAAATGCAAATTAAAATCCCAATGAGATAACAATACAAGCCTATTAGAATGGCTAAAACTAAAAAGGCTGACCATACCAAGTGTTGGTTAGGCTGTGTAAAAACTGGAACTCTCATACAGGGCGGTGGAAACAAATTAGTACAACCACTTTGGAAAACAGTTAGTCATTTTCTTAAAAAGTTAAACATTCACCTACCATATGATCCAGCAATCCCACTCATATCACTCCTAGGTATTTACCCAAGAGAAAAGGAAAAACGTGTTCATAGAAAGATTTGTACACAAGTGTTCATAGCAGCTTTATTTGTAATAGCCAAAAACTAGAAACAACCCAAATATCCATCAACAGGTGAGTGGATAAGAAATTTGTGTTACAGCCGTACAAGGGAATACTACTCAGCAATTTTAAAAAATGAACTATTGATCATGCAACATGAATGAATCTGAAAATCATTATGTTGAGTGAAAGAAGTCAGACCACTCTCTGCACTGGGAGCAGCTCCCCTGCCACAGCACCCCACTCCCTGAAAATGTACACCTGTACCAAATTTGTGTCCACCCACCCCCTGGTCAGGAGCACCTCTCAGCTGCTGAGCCAACCACTGTCTGCAGTAGTACTGAAACGACCCGAGATACTGACAGATAAGAGACTCAAGAGCTGGGCAGCCTCACGTCCCAACCTCACTTATCCCTAGCCATAACTTCCAAATCAGTGCCATTTCAAGAGACACTGACACAGCAGCCAAGTTCCCTGGGGCTGCAGCTGCCACAGTCAGGATGGCTGGCTCTGGGGCTGGGACTGGGAATGTTTGGGAGCCTCATCATTGGTTATGCCAGGAACTCTTTTCTGAAGCAACAGCTCTTCTCCTACACCATTCTGGCCTTGCTGCCTCAGAGCCCATAAGGCTCTTTTGCCTGATGCTAGCCTTCCTTTTCCATCCTCTTCGCCATGTTAATGGAACCCTCTCCACCTCCCATAGTTCTTTCTCCCATGTCTTATCTGCCCTGTATGTTCCTTTTCCTATACCTCCCCAGGCAGCCTGGGAAAAGTGGTTGGCTCAGGGTTTGGCAGAGGGAAGACAAATATATACTGTATTAATAAGACAAGAAAGAAAAAGAACATCAAGAAAAGAAGTACACACTGTATGATTCCATTTATATAAAACTCTAGAAAATTCAAACTAATCTATAGTGACAGAACACAGATCAGTGGCTGTTTGTGAGAGGGAGGGGCAGGAAGGAGCGTAAAGAAGCATGAGAAAATTTTTTGGAGGCTGACAATTGGTATGTTCCTATCTTGACTGTGGTGATGGTTTTATGGGTGTATTCAAACGTCAAAACCTATCAATTTATACACTTTAAATGTGTTCAGTTTATTCTATGTCACTTATATTCAATGAAGCTGTTTTTTAAAAACACAAATGGCTGGGTTCTACCACCAGAGCCTCTGGCTATAAAAATATTTATCCACTAAATCAAAATCAATCGTTTCAATAGTTTCCTACTGAAGTCTAAAAATCTATTCACTTACGAGCAACTATGACAACTCTGGAATATAAAGTTACTATTTTTGAAAAGTATCTCAGTCAACCTAGAAGCAAATGTATTCATACTGGTTGATACGGAAAAACATGAGGAACAGGAAAAAGATGAAAGATCCACAAAGCTTACCTTTCTAATGGCTAAGCAGAAAAGGTATTATAATGGCAAAGAGAATAGCAAGGCGAAAATAAACAGAAGAACCCAAGCCAAACGGTAACACTAGTAAAATGAAATGAGACCTATGATTATTAAACAATAATAATCTTAATTTGGAGAGGCATAATATGGCATTCAAGTAACGGGAAGAAGAGAAAGGCTGGTGTTCAAAAGTACAGAAGTAACACTGGAGAATAGGATATAGCAGAATTCTACTGCCATCTTTTTTTTTTCCCCCCTCAACATTTATGCATCATGAGATAGGCATTGGTATAACTGCAAAATAAATGTCATAAACCTATTTCATTAACCAATCATCAACTTAAAACTTGTTTTTCTAAAAACTGGTTAGATGTGGGATAAATTTTAGGAATCATGATTCTGTATCTTGTATCAAACTGCCTACCTATTTCAAACAAACTGAGAAGTATAATTTGAAAAAATTCTAGGAGCTTTATTTTATTAAAATGTTAATTTCTATTGATATAATAATAAAATACCATAATTCAACCCAATTGTACACGGCAAATAAGTATTAGATCTTAGATATATGAAGGGATATCGTTATTAATGATAATTTAGTCATTATTGAGTTATATTTTGATAATTATCCATAATTAGAGACGACTTTTGTCTTCTTCAATTATCTGTTTTTAGAGAACTAATATTAGAAAGTTAGTAATTAAATTTTTTTCCCCAAGTTATGCTAAAAGGAGAAAGTTAGTAAAATTCAGGTGTATAAAAACAGATGAATTAAGAGCAAACGGGAAAAAAGGACAAATTTTAATGGTATATTTTTTATTATTTTTTATTTATTATTTTTTT